GCGAACTGGGGCACAGCGAATCTTTCTCATGTTGTGTTCCACATGCTTTCGAGCATCAAATGAGGTGTACATTCGCAGGCTTGCTGCCTAAAATGAGTAATATAAGTGGGGAGCATTCATTTCGAGTTCCCCACTCAAAAGACATGCGATCTGCACAGCTCTCCGAGAGTTTAATCATTCTTGGATCAAGTTATCCGCCCACTCGGATGTAAAGTAGTAGAATTCGTCACAGCTGGTACAGTTAACCAACTTTCCAAGCAGGATTTCCTAAGCAATCAATCCAGAATCCGCCAGATTTGGCAGATTTAAATAGTTCATTCACGATTTCATCAAATGAATTACTCAAATCTACCATAACCTTCTTAATAATGAAATGCACCTGGAACTCGTCTGGTGGAAGCTGAATTGCTTGCTTAGAAAGTTCTGCTTGGGAAGTCAGCTTACTATACCCAAGTTGGCGGATTCCTGCGTTGTGGTAAGCTGGTCGGGTCCAGTAAATTATTCACATCTCTCAAAACACTCTTTTTTAATAATATGTTACATGAGATTGTTCTCTTGATTTTCACCATCCCTTGAAAGCCGAGCATTTTTGATAGAAAACGTGCACAAAATGCTCTCACTAATCATCTTGCAGCGGACTACTTCTTCCACAAATTTTCCACTCAAGAGAAGGTATTTTCTGGTTAAAAACGGCGGTACTTAAAATCTTTTTAGAACCTTTAAATATTTATTCAAGTGTCAGCTTATCTGCCCGTTCACAAATGGACTTAAAATGAAAATTTACTGCCTGTGAGTTGAAGCCCCAAAAGTATGTTCAACAACCATGTCATCAAGTAAAACTCTAGTGCAAAATCAGTCGTAAACGTTTTCACCTGTTTTCAAAAAACACGTTCTTGAATTTTTGAGTGTCTCGGAACCCTGGGGAAAAATTTACACTCGTTATGGATTCAACTGTAATGCGTGTGGTGATTTTTTGTAGGTGGCCGGAAGAATGCATATTTGAAGGCCAGCACCAGTGTGTAGATGAAACATCTAGGGTTTTGTAGCATTCTGCTCAATGTTGCAAACCCATTCAAATGCTTAGTTCTAAACGATACAATATTTTGGAAAGGTAATCAAAGATTCATTAATTATTTCTCTTGCCCTACTTGTTGCGTGTTTGCCCACACATCCACGGTCTAAGCACAATTGGCCACGATTTTAACCAACAAGAAAAGGGAAGCGCCTCGGATCCCGACTGAGTGGGGTTTCAAAGAGGACATATTACGAAAAGTTCATTCTCAGTCCTCAAAAGTTGATCGAGTTATCCAGTCAGTTGGCAGCCTTCCAAACCACAGTTTTTAGCGTACCGGGATAGTTTCAATCGCGTCAGATTGCTAATAAAGGGGAATAGAAGGCGTCACAATCGGCCTCATTAGTTCTCTCTCTTCCCTCTCCCAGATATCATTTCACTGTCCAAGCCGATAAATGTTCTTCACGCGGTGATTGACCGCGGTGGCGGAAAGAGTTAGAGAGCTCGTCTGTCCGAAGCACATACACGACCTGTCCCCTCGTTTCCCCGCGCGCATAACATGCCAGAATATCACACAGAGGGGTGGGGTGGGATAGGAACCACAGAAAAACGGTCTCGAGGACGCATTAGTAATCTGGATTCCTTGCAGCTCTCTTAGCCAGCGGCTGGAAAATTAGTGAAATCCCAGTCTGACCTTTGACTCACTGTCTGCGTTTGGGCTGTTTTCA